CCGATGCTGCCGCTTTCGCCGCTGCGACTCCGTTAAGATGTCGTCCTCAAACCGCATGATCTTACCAACGTCATTGCGGCTAAGCTTCAGCTTCTCCCGCGAGCCGCTCCTCTGAATCTCCGTCACCATTGCACACTTTGTAGCCCTCAACGATACCCAGCTTGGTGCGTTGGCAACTGTTCACAGTACGATACCGCTGCGCGTCTTATGTGGTCCACCGGTAAAAATCAATGTGGTCCACCGCTATAAAAACGAACAGATAACTGATAATAACCGTTCATAGCAGTTAATGACGGTGACAGCGATGACGCTTCGCTGCGACCCCAATCAAAGTTTTCTCTTCGTTCAAACTTCGAACTTGCGCAAAATGTATAGTCGTGTTCATCCCGGTGACACCAACCACATTTAGGAGCGGCATGTCAAACTCATTGGTTTTATACGTACAGTACATCAGTATGATGTCCGGGTTGGCTTGGAATATCGCCACAGCTTCTCGAAGAGCGAAAAAATGGTGTATAATTCGACGAGCTGAGTCAACATTGTGCGAGCAAAAATGGGTGTCAGGAGAGAGAAGTTCAAAAAGAGTAGCCATTTTTTCGTGTCCAGATTCTCTTTTTCTGCGTACAGTGTGACGGACATTGTTAACGTCCTTTCTTGTGATGGCTGAAGTCGGATTCATGTTCAAAATTCGAGATAAAGTAGCCGCCGGTTTAACTCCAAGTTTCGCGTCTTCTATGATCGATTCTTTAACAGTGTGTGTCATATCAGACTGACGGTGTGTAGGATGGGAAGCTGAATTTGTAGACACTTCATGGCTATGCTGTAGCTCACTCCCATCGTAGCTTTTGTGCCAACCCAGAGAGAGATCGTAGTGCACATGCCACTTGAGGGACGATTTGTTTAGGTGCAGGTTTATTCGAAACGGGCATCCGCATTTCCTCGTAGCTGTGTTAACACGATGTTCCGCTTCGACACTAGTTTTTAACTTGGGTTTGTAAGTTCCGTGCCTATCGCATGCAAAAACGACGCGATACTTCACTTTTTTGCGATCTCGCTGTGTGTCGGCAACAAGCAATGCGTATCCATGTTGTCTAGCGAAGAATTCATTAATCTTTTTGCTTCTACTGGCGATTCGTAAATTAGAACCGGAGGTATGTGATCACTGACATCCAGATCTCCCTGATAAGTTTCACCTGATCTCTCGACTGACGGAATATACTCCTCCCATTTGACACGCTTCGCCTTTAGGCTGCACAGGAGAAGAGATATTGGGAGCAGTCTCGTTTGTGAGGCACTCAGTTACTTCTTTTGTACTTTGATATTCAGTGACTTGGGACGTGAGTTTGACATGCCGCTCCTAAATGTGGTTGGTGTCACCGGGATGAACACGACTATACATTTTGCGCAAGTTTTCATGGTGGGAGAAACTGAACAGGATTATCTGTGGAGCCTTGCACAACTGAAACAGATTCTAGATGAAGAAGGAATTGATCTGCCCCAAGTTGTACTTTCCGATTGTGATGTGGCTCTAATGAATTCTCTTGAAGTTGTGATGCCAGATATTCCAGTGATTTTATGCGTTTGGCATATAATATCAGACGTGAAGAAACATGCAATTCAGAATTTTGCATTTTTACGTGAAGAAGACAATACTGAAGCTACAACGGATACGGGAGAAGGTACAACTCATAAACATCATCAACCCCAAGAAGAGACGAGTCGACTCCGATAAATTAAAAGAATACATGGACGTTTTCAAGAAGTTAACTCGCGCTGGGACAGCGTCCGAATACGAAGTGTTGCGTAGAGAATTGCACCGGTTATCGTCCACAGAAGCTCTTTATGTGGAAAATACTTGGCTTTCGTTATGGAAAATGAGATTTGTCCGTTGCTGGACAAACTACCATGTTCACTTTGATATCTATGCAACGTCACGAGTTGAGAGCTATCACGCAGCATTAAAGAAGTGGCTTAAGAAAAAAGGAAATTTTATCGATGCCTTCAGCGCGATGAACAACTGGTGGAAATTGTCTATTAAGGAGCACAAAGAAGCACTTTCGGAGGAAAAAATGAAAGTTCGCAGGTTGTTACGGGGTCCTTTGTTTGTGGATGTGGTAAACGTAATTCACAGTCACGCGTTACTTAGGTGCGTTGAAATCATGGGAAAAAAATCCAATTATCTCGTGCAGGAACATTTTTTCTCATTCAACTGGTCTTCCGTGTGTCCATCGCCTTCATCACCTACTTCTAGATTCCAAACCTCTCAAAAAAAAAATGATTTTCATGTCCACTGGCACATTGATCGATTTTCCGAGCCACCACCACCAAGAGCCGTCGTATTCGAGCCCAAAATCAAGACACGACGGGCTGCACGTAAAAAACAGAAGACAGCTCACAAAAAGGGATGCGGGAAATCGGGTACTAGACGAAATCCATCCGCCTTTGAACTCTCTAACTTTGAACGTGAAACGGCTACAACATTTAGGGTGTCCACCAGCAACCATGCAACACAGTCATTTTTAACAGCAGCAGAATCAAGTCGACTTCAAGAAGAGGACAACTCGACTCAGAACCTCGAGGTTGCCCATTGGAGTTTTTAGTTATCTGAAACAAGCTAGATTTTCAAGCTACCCAATTCAAACGTTAAAATCTTTAAATCTTACAATACTTTACTTGTGAGCGGAATTTACAGAAGTTCTCGGCATTGTTGATAAACGTCTATTCTGTCTTAAGCAACCATCGTGTTGGGGCTCTAATAATAGTTGGCATGAACTGATGCAGCAGAAGATGGTGCAACCGACTGTATCATACAATCGGTACCAAATGTTTGGTACTGTCTCGGGGCTCTACACCTTTGTGCATCAACTTCGTACTAAACAGAATTCAAACTCGTAACTTAAAATTTGGCAAACAGGAAAATTACGATAGGAGCGCATAATCAGCATTCAATGTTGAAAAAACTGCAATCGACCTCGTTGACTATTTACCGTAGACCATAGCTATTCCTTCAGCAGCAGCGTTGACAGCCTTGCTACAGTGAAGCTCCATACGAGAC